GTCAGTTCCTTCTCCGCCGGAATCCGTCGTCTTCAATCCCTTTCTCCGAAATCTCTCTCGCTCCGGTGACCCAAAAGCGACAATCTTGTTCTACCAGAGGATTAGACATGTTGGTGGTCGTCTCGATCAATTCAGTTTCCCTCCGATTCTTAAAGCTGCTTCTAAAGTCTCCGCCTTGTTCGAGGGTATGGAGATTCATGGTCTTGCGGTCAAGCTAGCGGCAGTTTCCGACCCGTTTGTTGAGACTTGTCTTATGGATATGTACGCGTCGTGTGGAAGAATTAACTGTGCGCGCAATATGTTCGACGAAATGTCCCACAGAGATGTTGTTACGTGGAATACTATGATTGAGAGGTTAGGATCATAAATACTCTGTTTTGTTGAGAGGATTTAGTGTTTTCTTTTAACATCTTTTCTTAAGTTCTTATATTTTGCAGGTATTGTCGATGCGGACTTTTAGACGAAGCCTTAAAGCTTTTTGAGGAGATGAAAGGTTCTAATGTAATGCCAGATGAAATGATTCTCTGTAACATTGTCTCCGCATGTGGTCGTACTGGAAATACGAACTATAACAGAGCGATTTACGATTTCTTGAAAGAGAATGATGTTAGGATGGACACTCATTTGTTGACTGCTCTTGTTACTATGTATGCTGGAGCATGCTGTATGGATATAGCAAGGGAGTTTTTCATGAAGATGTCAGTGAGAAACTTGTTTGTTTCGACTGCCATGGTTTCTGGGTTTTCGAAAGCTGGAAGACTCAACGATGCCCGGGATATATTTGACCGAATGGGAAAGAAAGACTTGGTGTGTTGGACCACAATGATTGCAGCTTATGCTGAAAGTGATCATCCTCAAGAAGCTTTGAGAGTTTTTGAGGAAATGTGTTGTTCTGGGATTAAACCTGATGTGGTTACTATGTTGAGTGTTATATCAGCTTGTGCTAACCTCGGTACTCTGGATAGAGCAAAATGGGTTCACCTTTATGCGCGTCATAACGGGTTTGAATCAGCTTTGCCAATAAATAATGCCCTCATTAACATGTATGCGAAATGTGGAGGTTTGGATGCAGCGAGAGAGGTTTTCGAGAAGATGCCAATGAGGGATGTAGTGTCATGGAGCTCCATGATCAATGCCTTTTCTATGCATGGAGAAGCCAGTGATGCGCTTATCTCATTCGCCCGTATGAAAGAGGAAAACATTGAGCCTAATGAAGTTACTTTTGTAGGAGTGCTCTATGGTTGTAGCCACTCAGGGCTGGTTGAAGAAGGCAAGAAGATATTTGCATCAATGACTGATGAATACAATATTACTCCTAAACTTGAGCATTATGGATGCATGGTGGATCTCTATGGCCGTGCTAATCGTTTACGAGAAGCTCTTGAGATTATAGAATCAATGCCAATGGCGCCTAACATAGTCATCTGGGGTTCTCTGATGTCTGCATGTAGGGTTCACGGAGAGCTTGAGTTAGGTGAAGTTGCAGCTAAACACATCCTCGAGCTGGAACCTAATCACGACGGGGCTCTTGTGTTAATGTCCAATATATACGCTAGAGAACAGAGATGGGACGATGTAAGGAACATAAGACGTGTAATGGAGGAAAAGAATGTGTTCAAAGAGAAAGGTCTTAGCCGGATTGACTTAAACGGCAAATCACACGAATTCCTCATTTGTGACAAAAGGCATAACCAATCAGATGAGATTTATGCAAAGCTAGAAGAGGTTGTAAGTAAACTGAAGTTAGCGGGTTACGTTCCACACTCTGGTAGTGTTTTGGTGGATGTAGAGGAAGAAGAGAAGAAAGATTTGGTTCTATGGCATAGCGAAAAGCTTGCGCTCTGTTTCGGGATAATGAATAAGGAAGAAGAAGAGGAAGGCTCCTGTGGTGTTATTAGGATAGTGAAGAATCTGAGGGTATGTGAGGATTGTCACACGTTCTTCAAGCTGGTCTCTAAAGTGTATGAAAGGGAGATCATAGTGAGAGATCGAACTAGGTTTCACCGTTATAAAGACGGTTTGTGTTCTTGCAGAGATTACTGGTGACTGAGGTGGGCAAAATTAGAAACGAAGTTTTCTATAAAATGTAACTAAATTATTCAGAAAGTTTACTGCAAAAGAGATGGTTAGATCATGTACAATGCATGCATGCTCTTAATCTATGTTCTTAGTATTTATCTGATTTAATTTAATTGATAAATAGTTATTACTAGTAAAAACTGCTCTTAATTAAGATGATTTTCTGTATGTTCTTAGGAGACATGTGTCAAATGGTAAGTGGCAAGTATTATTCAGAAGGAGAAAAAGAAAAGAAAAACACGCATTCAACCAAATTGCGAG